CTTGGTCGACCATCGAACGCCTCGGTGCAATGCAGAGGGCAACCTTCTCCGCATCTTCGTTCCGGATGGGGATATTTATAGGATAGGCGTGGACCAGGCTAGGCCAAGCTGACGTGACGGACGCACCCGGGCTGCCCCATATCCACCTCATATTTGAGCTGGATATGAGGGGTCCTGGTCAGTCCAGGCATTTGAGACCCGTTTGAGACGTCCTACTGAGTAGAAATTTCATGACCGGTCAGTAACCGGGCGGCCCGCCCGGATGTTTGAAGCTGGTTTGGGGTGTCCGGATGTATGCTCGTAGAGTCAGGCTGGCTACATTCCATCAGGTATTGTCTACCGGTTGTTCAGCGTGCGGTGCATCTATTGCAGGGTGTCTATTATGTCGTGTACAGCAACTTGGTTTCATGCATCCACACACACGCTTCATGCGTGTCAATTTAGGTTGTGTTCGATAGCCCTTCACTCCTCCACTCGGGAGCAGAGTGCGCGGAACACCATATTAGTAGCTTTCCAAATTAACACCGCACGTTGCTATGCTCCGGAGCGGAGTTAGAGAGCTGGAGGGAGCCCCGGGTCCGAACAGGTTCTTAATGTGTGATCTGATATATTCACGTGTGGGCACAAAGCAATAATGCCAGTAGTACTTACGGCACCTTCAACCGCCGATTATCAAATTGTCTGCAAATATTCCGAATGGTTTGGACGTGCAAAATCTTTCAAACCGGCACCAAGCCCGGGAGATTTTGTGGACATCCCGACGTTTGCCACATATGATTTCGATAATGCAGACCTACCCAAAATTCCTCTCTTGCCTATTTTGTTGCGTCTGCTCGTCCTTTGTGTCGCATTCATGTCGGTGGACATGACTGGACGCGATGATATCATACCGAGTTGTCGACATTCATATTGATTAACGGTCGTCCACCTACTCGGCATTCACACCGGAGCGGCGAATGAGAATTCGGCGCTCCGCATTCCCATAACTCTGCCTGCCCAGGCTATTTAAGTCAGTTGGCCATGTCCCAAAATCCTACCCCTTCGAGCCTTTTTCCCAACGTATGAGTCGCCGTCCAATCACCTCTTCACACCCTCATCTGGCATTCATCGTCACCATTGCCTGGTCCTTTGCTATGTGGTAGCGAAGGCTCAGGCCGATGAGCCGTACCAAATCGCGACGGAGGTCCACGATGTGAAGGCTCGGCGCCAGGCCTGCATTGATGCAGGCCAACCTTCGAAATATCTCGAGCACTCGAAGGAGGAGATGGATGAGGAGGAAGACAACATGGGTATGGTCGCCATCGCCATGTAGGAGGAGCATGCGCTCATGCCGGTGTCTGGGTTCAGCATGCTGGAGGCGAGGCAACACTACAAACGGGACTTGGCATCAGCGAAGGAGGAGCAGGCGCTGGTGTCCGCCTTCAGGCAGTTGCAGGCGGAGCAGCAGTACAATCTCCTTCTCCTGGAGGAGCACGATCATGGACGTCGGCCGGGCTGTGCTCAGACTCCATGCACAAAGGTCGTACTCCCTCCGTCCGGAAATACTTGTCCTAGAAATGGATAAAATGGATGTATCTATAACTAAAATAAGTCTAGATACTCTTGAATATGTACGAGAGGGGAACTGGTCAGTTACTCAGTCCGGATAAATGTTCGATTATGTTTGGGAAGTCGTGATGTATGGAAAACCAAGTGTCTACAATGGTCATCTTAAAGATTACTGTAGAGGGTTTTGAGGATAAATATCTCGGCCTTCCTGTTCCTCAAGGAAGAATGAAAACTGGTAGATTCTAGTCTACTAAGGAAAAGGCAGTGAAACGTCTCTTTGGCTGGATTGATAAATATGCTTCAAGCGGGGTGAAAGAAGACCTTATTAAGTCAGTAATTCAGGCTCTCCCGGTGTACGCCATGGGTATTTTTTAATTCCCTGCTTCTCTTTGTGAGGATTTATCGCAGATTATAAGAAATTTTTGGTGGGGCGATGAGGACGACAGGAGGAAAACCCATTAGTTGGCTTGGGATAAATTAACGCGGCCAAAGGGTGAGGGTGGAATGGGCTTCCATGAACTGAGTTTATTTAATCAAGCTCTCCTGGCAAAACAAGCTTGGTGTTTACTGGTTAACCCGAACTCGTTATGTGCTAAGGTAATGAAGGCAAAATATTATCCTCAGGGGCACCTTCTTGACACGGTTTTTCCTCAGTCAACCTCAGTGACTTAGCAAGGTATTATGCATGGTCTGGAGCTCCTTAAAAATGGTGTCATTTGGAGGGTGGTTGATGGAGGGAATATCAATATCTGGAGGGACAATTGGCTTCCAAGGATTTCTGGCCTCAAGATATCTGGCAAGAAGAACAGATCAAGACTAAAATGGGTTTCAGATTTATTCAAGAGCGGGTCTAGGGATTGGGACCATAATATTATTAGGCATCTTTTTTATCATCACGACGCAGAAGAGATATTGAAGTTGCGAATTCAATCCTGGGGGGGGGGGGTGATTTCATTGCTTGGCATTTTGAAAAGAATGGATTATTTTCTGTGAAAAGTGCGTACAGTCTGGCGCTAAAGCTTAAGGATCAGAAAGAGAATGGTGGGGAATCCAGTAATGCTATTAACGGAGAAAGGAGATTATGGGATATTATCTGGAAGGCCAACGTCCCACAAAAGATTAGAATCTTGGATGGCGTGCAGCATCTGATAGCCTGGCGGTTCAGGTTAATAGAGTTTTATATCATCAAGCTACCATTCGTGCTTGCTCTATCTGCGGGGTTGAGGATGAGAGTACCTTCCACGCTCTTGTTTCTTGCCCAAAGGCTCATGCACTTCGTTTGGCGTTGAGGAAAGTGTGGAATTTGCCATGGAAAGAGGCTTTCAATTATTCTGAGCCTGACTGGTTACTTATTCTTTTAGACCAGTTAAGTTGTTCGCAAAGGAAGCACGTCTTGTTTCTTTTCTGGCGAGCTTGGCACTTGAGGAATGATTTGATTTTTGGAGAAGGAAAACAAACTATTAAAGGATCCGCCATGTTTTTGGAAAGTTACTGGTCGGCATTTTCATCGTGTCAGCCTACAAATGAGGTAACCACCAATTACAAAGGAAAAGAGGTGGTGGCTGGTTTTGGTGCAAGTAATATTGTTGTGAGACCCAGAGAGGTGTGGCAGCCGCCTTCTTTTGGCCATATCAAGATCAATGTCGATACAAGTTTTGTAGAGAGTTTAAGTGCCGCGAGCGTTGGGGTGGTGGCCAGGAGTTGTACGGGTGATATCATTGTCTCATCTTAGGACTTCATTGGGTTATGCTCTGGTGTGGATGAAGCGGAGCTTCGAGCATGCCTAGCTGGGCTTTATATCGGTATTTCTCTTAACATGCCTATTATTTTGAAAACTGATTGTGCATTTGTGGCTTCTTTCCTAGCAAATGAAAGTTATGACAGATTCTCGCTCATAGACCTCAAGAAGGAAGCACTTAGCATCATCAGGCTTCTGGGAAACTTCAAGTTGTCAAAAATAAATAGAAAGGCCAATTCAGTAGCGCATGAGATTGCTAAATTTCATTTCGATAATAGATGTGATGGTTTTCTTTTTAATAATTTTTCGCCCTGTGTGGCGCCTGCTGTTATGAACGATTGTAATGACGTTTTAATTAATTAATATATGGACGGATGCTTTTTAAAAAAAATCTAGATACAACCATTTTTAGAACAAATATTTCTGGTCGAAGGGAGTACCATCGACCTCGAGCGCTCACATCTCCACATCAAAATGCGGAGCAAAACCACCTCTTCATGGGGCTGGAGGCGGGGGACGACAATGCGCCGGACCAGCACGACCACGATGCCAACTAGGCACACTTCGGCAGCTCTTAGTTCTACCTATATTTCTGAAGTGAGAAGAAAAACGTCTTCACCAATTTACATGGACCACTTGCATACAAAAATAGTTAATACTACTACCTTTTTAGAGATTTCACTAGAAACTATATTCGGATGTATATAGACATCTTTTAAAGTCGCTCATTCATCTTTTAAAGTCACTCATTCCGTATGTAGTCTATAGTGAAATCTCTTAAAAGAGTTATACTTTCTACGTTCCCAAATATAAGTCTTTCTAAAGATTCCAACAAGTGACTATATACGGAGCAAAGTGAATGAATCTACACTCTAGAATATTTCTAGATACATCCGTATGTTGTAGTCCATTTAAAATGTCTAAAATGATTTATATTTATTTATGAATGGAGGGAGTACTGGTAGAGTAGAGAAGATGATATCGCTTCTTGTCGCTTGACCGCAGCCTGCGAGGTGAGCAGCAGCAAATGGTTAAATGCATGGCCGGGCGACAAGAGCAAATGGACCAGCCTCTGATACGTCTTGACCAATCATGCACGTACTACACTGCATACTAGTACTAGTAGTGTAGTACTACGTGTGAAAGCTGTCCGCCTGTCCCCATGCTACTGCAATTTAATCTCTTCCAACATGACCACCGGTGTGTGTTGACTTGTGCCAGGCCAAAGGTATGGCGCCAGTGACTCAACATCTTCATATAATTGGCTACGCCATGATTGCTAGTAGAACAAATCATATGACTCCCCAAACTAGCTATCAGCTAGGCCAGTCGTTAGTTTGGGCCCTTCCCATTAGTTCCTACAGGCTCCCAAAAGAGCGCAATCAATGGATGGGATTTGCTAGTTACAAGCATGGCCAAATCAGGGCAATACTAGTATATGAAACCTGACTTTCACTGTATCAGCACCAGCTCTCAGTAGGCAATAAAAAGGCAGCAATATTTCCCCTCAAAAAAGAAATATTTCAGCACCAGCTCTGAATTTCCGATGATGTAATAACCCTTTTTGATCTTGTCAAGTCCGAGATGCCAAGCCGCCACCAAGGTTAGCACAAACTATAGTAACATTTCTAGAAAACATGTACCTGATCTTGCACAGAAATTAAAACGATAGATGTTTTGTTGCAGGGGCAATAAGCTCGACCGTGAGTACTCATCAGGCCTCCGCAACTACGCCTGCCGGGGCGCTTTCATCTTGATGACTCTCCTCCTTCTCATCATACAGGGGCTTTGGCTCCAGATCTATGAATTCATTCGAGTTGTTGGCCAGGTGTGATATGCTCACCCTCCCATGCTTCCTGATGTAGTCTGCAACGGCCTGCATCTCCTCAATTGATATGTAGATGAACTTTCCACGGTCATCCATCACGCCAGATAATCTATCTGCACAACACCAAAGCGAGCCTATCAGTATCAGTCCAAGCGGGTGCTGCACATTCCAGGTTGAACTTCAACTGATGCGAGTCAACCAGATCCCAGACAAGATGAGAATGAAGCTCATTATTCATTGATCACAAGTTAGAATAATAAGACAACGTACCCATGCCTTCAAGCGTAATAATTCGGTTTATGCAGTCCTGCAAAACAGAAAAAATAAATACTCACAACGCAGCCACACAGGACAACTGTAAAGACTCAAACGAAGGTTATCAGGGTACTGTGGTATAAAACAGGGGGTGTGGGACCGTAGGAGTACATTTACAAAGAGTCCAGGTGAAAAGATAACTATGGCATTACTTTTGCAAAGACATGATTCTAGGTCAAATTCAGGATCACATCCAAAAATTTACTCTGTTGCTCTGAATATCAATCATATATAATTAGCCATCCATGATACCAAATGCTCACAGCTCTAAGCACAGCAGAGTAGATAATTTGATGGATAAAGCATCCCAATGAAACATACTGGGATAGAAAGGGATGGGGTACTTGAGATTTAATATTTTCAAGGAATTAACCCACAACAGTTCTGGTCTGCAAAATCTATTAGCTCTAGATGCTTCTGGTAAGCTGGAGACACTAAGCAAACACCGTGATAAACGTAAGATGTCTACGGGTATACATGGAAAGAGTTCTATACAGTTTCAGTTTCCAGTCTGAC